TTCGCATATTCTTAAGATGGAGAAACCAAAGGAAATGTGAAACCAGGGCTGACCAGACAGCATTAGTAAGTCCCAAAGAAAGGGGAATATGCTGTGTAAATGACGTAAAGAAAAAAGCATCAAAGAGCTCACACTTCTCTGCATTACCAATAAATTAAAAGCCGGACCAAGCACCAACGGCATGATTCAGACTTGTTTACAATTAATAACAACAAAACTATTAGTCAAGGCTCATTTTAACAGAAAAACTCCACGGAATTATCAGAAGTGTAAAGTGTTGAGAGAAAGTGAACAATGTTCAGATGCATTATGAACTACAACAACTTCTAGCTTCAGCATCAGATTTGAGGGTTCTGTGGATGTTTTCTCTATCGCATAACCCTAATTCCTTCCTACAACAGGTCCTTCTTGCATGCTGAGCATGGCAAAGATCTTGTGAGTGAAAATTGTGGGTCATTATGTCATTAACACTGACTATAATGCTTACTCTACGTAAGGAATAAATTGAAGTTGCACAGGAAAACTTCGGTCCAGTATTTTCTGAATACTTGACTTCGCACTTAACAATTGGTGTTAGCATGGAAATCTCCAAGTATCTTTTAACAGAAAATGAACAAAACTGAACATATTTTCCTCTTATTCTCTAGCAGTTCAATCACACGGTGTCGATTTAATCTTTCATCCCAGACACAACGGAATTACTCATTTTTAGGTCAGACCTCTGTGCCTTGTGCTAACCAAGTAAGTAACCGAGGTAGCATGTTTTCATCTGCTATGCATAGTGCATGTCCTTGCTGGAGGCTTTCACTACTATTTGCTTAAACCTGAGGACCAGGGAGATTCAGACTTGAAATAGAAAACTGACATATCAGTCATAAGCTCCTCTACTCATTTCCCTTTGGCTTTTTTTTTTTTTGGCTTCAGACTTTCCAGCTTGACTCCTGACCCCTTGCTTCCTCTTTATTCCCAGTCTATACTTGTTTGGCTCAAGAAAATTTCTACGATTTTTCTCCCAGGCTTACAATCTAAGTGTTTTTTCAGCTCAGTCTCCTCTGAAATCCAAAACAGGTGATTTAATAGGCATTTTACTGTCCTAACACATTTTATCTCCAAGGCCTAGGCCCAACAGCTCAGCAGCCCCCAGGCTCTGCCTATACCTCCACTCCCAACCCAGTTTTCTTGATTAGCTAGTCCCCTACCTACATAGGAAACTGCAGTCTCTTCATTCTATTTTCTTCATCTCCACCTGCTATCTTGGTTGTATCCCTAATTCATCCCTTCTCTCCCATGAGTTACTACCCTCTGTACCTAGTTCTGCCCTCCTTGCCTCTAAAGTAGGTCACAGTTTGTGGGAATCAGAAAGGGCACAGAGCAACAGAGGCCAGTTCCTTGGTTTTAGTTCTGCTGTTTGGTCATAATCCAGCCTGCAAACAGCTGAGAGTTACAAGGAAGGAAATCCATACACATTCATGTATGTGCTCATTCATAGTATGGCCCATGTGGATACAAAAAATGTGACAGTGATTTGTATATGGGAGTGCTGAGACCTCTCCTCATCCCACTGACCAGTATTGGTTCAAGGACTCCTTATGTTGATCCATCTATCCATATCCCCCTGCTGTCCTGTATCTTCTATTTGATGAGCTGACTTCTGCAGTAAGGACTCTTGAGTTTTGTGCCTGTATGGTGTCCAGCACAACTGGATCTTTATTCAGAGTGAGAGCTAAATGGGTCTATGATGATGATGATGATAATATAAATTAGGGTGCCTGCTGGGAGCATGAACTGCCTCTGTTTTAACGAAGGACTTTAATTTGTGAAATATGGACAGAGTTCTGCAGGAACAGTATAAAACACATCCTCAGCATAAAGGCCATTTACCTCCAAAATGTCATGTTGCTCTGCAGCTGCCTAAAGAAAAGGTCATCAAAAGGTCATCAAAAAGGTCATCAAAATTACTTAATTGGGCAAAATAATCTACTTGATTCCATTCTTAGAAATTAAGTTTTTGACAGCCATTTTCCAACTAAGTTAAGATGTAATCAAATAAAATACAAACTGCATTTGCCAGAGAAATGGTCAGAGAGTTTTAGCCTGAGTAGCTAGTATTTCGAAAAGATTTTTGCAACGGGATATTGGTATTAGCTTAAGAAGTTCAAACAACTTTAATAATACGGACACCTATAAATACTGCCTATCATGTAGATAGCATGCCTCTACATACAAATAATACTTTTCTTCTATTCTCTAGGAAAACAAAAAAGAAAGAAAGATTTTAGTATTCATTACCTCCTGCATTATAGACACAGATTTGTTGGCAAATACATTCAGTTCTAAATTTCAGGTCTCAGTGGATTCCTTAAGACGACATTTTCAGTTTACATTCTTTCATTACATCACGTCATTATATTCTTTCATTGCATTGCATCAGCCTCAAAGGATTCTCTTTCCTAACAGTGAGAAGATCTTAAATCTGCAGCCTATCACATGCAATGCTGAACTAATGTCTTCCTCAACACGGTGCAGCACTATCCACAGCACCCATATCTAATAGCTGTCTTTTCAGCTGGGAGGTGGGGTGAGAGCTGATACTGATACACAGCTGTGCGGAGAAGAATGACACAGAATTAACTCTAAACTTGAAATGTTTATTAGCTGAAATAGTGATAAGAATCTATGTATCTCCGTTGCCTCTGGTGGCTTTAATTGTTCGTTTCTTCCTTCTAATACTTGCATCCGGTATAATGTGTGGGCACCAACCCTTCTTCAGAATGTTAGTTTATCATTTTTATACCAAGCTTAATTATACCTTTTAGTTTCTGCCTTGCTAGGCCATGGCAACATATTAGGGCCTTATATGAATTACAGTTTTTACTTTTTATATCAATAGGGTACATTTTGAGGCAAAAGAGAAAGGACTGCTCATCAATGAGAAAACTATGACCAGCATCTATTTCTACCCTGAAGAACAGCAGAAATATACCTTATAAAATAAATTAAAAAAAAAAAAAAAAGAGAGAGAGATGCAGCTCATGGTAGGCATCTTAGCCTTAGGCAGGTTGACTGATAAAAAGAGCTTTGCACATCTTAATGTCCTACCATCAGCATACATCCTACTTTTGTATTGCAAAGTGTTTCTTGAGCTTTCAGGTAATCTCTCTTGACAGTCACCAAAGAGAGGAAATAGAAGACAACTGAGAGAACCTTGTCTGAGAAGGCAGTGAATGGACATCCAAACCTACTGGGTCCCTTCCCATAAGAAAGGAGAAGAGGGATGTGGAACAGTCACCTCTGATTTATCTCAGAGAGATCTGCATGGATAAAATTCAGCCAGATCAGGGGCTGCACACACACACACACACAGAAGCCACATTGCCACATTTCCACAGTCTCTGCTTAACAGCTAAGGTAAGGCAAGAGGACTTTCAGGCAGACCAAACCTAATTACACAAACGGGAGTTTGGTCAAGACATTAGGTTTAAATGCCCATTCCAGGTGCAAGAAAGATGTCCCTAGATCTTCTGGACCACCATTTACAGGTGGTTTGGTTTTAGATTTGGTGCTATAGTTAATAAAAAATTATTTCTCTTCTATTTATCTGTCAGGACCTATATTCAAAGTTCAGTGTTACCCAGGCAACAGTGGATAAAAGTAGTGAAAGCAGAATATTTCACTAAATATCCCACACTATTTTAGATAGCTGTAGTATTCTCAACAGTCATTACAAAGACATGCAATTCGAGTATTTGCAGGTAGCTGAAAGATGAACGGCTATTTTATTAAATATAGAAATGCAAACTCTTAAGAATTGCAGAAGAGCAGCATAGTCTAGTGGCTGCCCATCAGATGATCAGCATTCGGTGCATGACTCAGTCTGAGCGGACTTGCAGTGTGACCTTCAGCGAGTCATTTAGCCTTGTCCCATCCTACTGCGAACAAATTTCTTCATGACTACCATATAAAGGGATTACAGATATGACACAGCAGTGCTATGTTCTTTCTTAGTAGTGCAAGAACATAATCTCATTTTGCAATGTGTCGGCCTAGAGATCTGAAATATGCAAATGGCTTAAATTATCTGCTTAATGACTAACTCTCTTGCAATATCTTATGCATACTCTTGCAGTTATGAGCAGTCCTGTAGGAACTCCAGAATGCTGTAACAAATAAACACGCTTGGAGGGACATTTGGGTTAAACAGTAAGAGAAAGATGCTGTAGTTTTATTTTTATTAAAAATACAACACCCTTCACAGGCATGTGGGGAATTTGTGTCTCCTGCAACAGTGCAGAGAATAATGCTTCATGGAATCACAGTAGCAAAAAAAAAAAAAAAAAAAAAAGCCTATTCATACGGTAACACTTCTCAAGTAAATATGGGTAAAAAAATCTCTCTACTGAAAATCTACGGTTCCTGCATCTGTCATAGATAATCATATCTGACTTTCTCAATTATAGTACACATTTCCTCAAGACACAATAACCATATTGCTGAAGAAAGAGGCATGTGGGGAATTTGTGTCTCCTGCAACAGTGCAGAGAATAATGCTTCATGGAATCACACAATGGTTGAAGCTGGAAAGGACCTCTACAGACCATCTAGTCCAACCCCCCTGCTCCAGCAGGGACACCTAAAACATGGGGCACAGGGCGGCATCCAGGTGGGTTTTGAAGATCTCCAGAGAAGGAGACTCCACAACCTCTCCGGGCAGCCTGTCCCTGGGCTGTTGCCCTCACAGGAAAGAAGTTCTTTCTCATATGAAAATGACGTTTCCTGTGTTTCAATTTGTACCCATTACCCCTTGCGCTGTCGCTGGCCACCACCAAGAAGTGTTTGGCCCTATCCTTATCCTCTCCTCAGGTATTTGTACACGTTGATTAAGATCTGCTCTCAATCTTCTCTGGGATAAAGAAGCCCAGCTCACTTCCACTTTCCTCATATGATAGATGCTCCAGTCCATTAATCATCTTCATGGCTCTACACTGTGGCCTCTCTAGAAGCCCCAGGTCTCTCTTGTACTGGGGAGCCCAGAACTGCACCCAACACTCCAGGTGCGGCCTCACCAGAGCTGAGTAGAGGGGCAGGATCCCCTCCCTCAACCTGCTGGCAACGCTCCTCCTGATGCAGGCCAGGATCCCATTGGCCTTCTTGGCCACAAGGGCCCATTGCTGTCTCATGGTTAAGCTGTTGTCAGCCAGGACTCCCAAATCCCTCTCCATGGATCTGCTTTCCAGCAGGTCAACCAACTTCCTGCTAACAGTTTTGGTTTCTGCAATTTCTTTGTTGTTGTTGTTGCTATAACAGAAAAAAAATCTGAATAGCTACAGAAATACTACTGCTAGGAGGGTAAAATGCCCCACAGATTACAATAGCATTTTAATCCCACAGCACAGGATGGATCCATCCTCATCCTTTGTCTATGCAGCACACAGAAAAGTGCAGCAAGTACTGCACTGTCCCAGCCAATATAAGGTAACTCACTTGCTTCATCATCTTTCCTGTCAATGGGAAAGAATACCTGCTGATAGCTATATTTATATGGAGATCTCTTTTGAAAGGAGACAATACATCTCTCTTTACCCCAATGCTGAGCATGTTGGGCTGAAACACAAACTCATCTCTTCAGTGACTTTGTCCATATCAACTCCTTTGGTCTTCTGAAGAACAACACACTTTTTTTTTTTTAGGTTCTGTCCAAGCTAGATGTTCCTCCAGGGTTACTCTGAAGTTATCAGAACAACTCCACTTCAGATAACATTGCTGGAAGGCAATACTGGAGCAGCCACAAGCATTTTTATCAGCAGGCCCTTGGACTCCACTTTGAATGATAACAAAGCAAGGGAGCATTGTTGTCTATACCATCATTGTCACCTCTCACAAGGCTGTGACCATGGTCAAATGTAAAGTCCTTATGCCCCAAGGGGTAAAGAAAAAAAAAAAAAAAAGGCAAACACACACCTGAGCAGGGATGGGGGAAGCATCTTCCATTTATCAAAATTGTCAGGAGAACAACAGACCACAGTAAAGGAAACAGAGACTACAGACTAAAACTAAAATCAGATCAAACATATGAGAAGATTAAAGGCACATAGAAAGACCTAATCTAATAATTTTTTTTTAAGTGCGGGGGCGGGGTGGGGGGAAGGAAAGGTTCCTATTCAGTATTATGGTAAGGTGATTGAGTTACCCTTAGGCTAAACACCCCTGGCAAGTTTACATTCCTTTTACCACCCTGGTGTGTCATGGAGAAAAGAAGAAACTGTGACTGTTCAGAGCTTTTACTGATCTCCATGCAAGGAATGATGTAGATAAGAAAAACATACCATCTGCTAATGAATTCCCAATCTTTTCCTCCTGTTTCATACTTGCTTCTTGTGCTAGAAGTAAGCATTCAAAACTGACCTAGAAAGCGTACTGTAATCAGACAATAACATAAGCTGAGTGTAGTAAAAAGAAATGTCCTCTAGCAGGTAAAAAAAAAGTTTGAAATTTTGTTTTCATTCAAAAGTCAGAGGAAGCTGGATGTCTCTGTACTCCAGTGATGGACACTTTAATGAGGAGATTGTATCGGCTGTGAAAGAAAAGCAGCAAACTCCAAGGAACATTTCTATCTCTCTTATTGGATTTACACACCTTTTTGTACTCTACATGCTACCATGGTAGATCAAATGTAGTGTTTTGTATTTGCAAACAAAGGCAAAAGCAACATAGGAAACAGATGTCATTTGAAATGCATTTCAAATGAGATTCTAGTGGAAGTCCAAAAAATCTATCCTTAAGGGATTAGAGAGAAAAAAAAAAACAAGCCCTGTTCTTGGCGCACCACTGGGAACACAGCAGACTACTGCCCGGGGGCGGCTCAGGGGCACGCACTCACGCCTCAAGGCTCACTGAGGTGCTCTGGGTGCCCAGGGCACCTCCTCAGCGCATGGCGGGTGTCCACAGGACAACGCCGCAGCGCACAGGAGGCCGCTTGGCGCTGGCTGGTGGCGCCCCATGGGACCAGGGTGCCTCTGCGAGGGGCAGTGAGTGCGAGGCCTCCCACGCCACGTGTGCCCAGAAGGGGCAAGGCAGGGCACGGC